ACAAATACGCATCGTGCGTTAAATCTTTAAAGGCATATTTTTGCTTTTTTACTGTATACTATGAAGTGTTATAAATAGAATTGTATGCTATACCACAGTTAGAGTCTAACAGTTGGGAAACATATATTTGTGCAGAGCAACATCTATAAAACGTGTCACGAAAATATTTGGCAGTGCAACACTTGTAAATGTATTTTTCAGTTCTTCAAACTGTGAAACATCTTTGCTGTGACTATACCTTATCATTGAAGAGTATATTTTTATTAATTTAATTCATTTTTACTTTACTGACCAGATAAACAAGTAAAATAGGTGGACCTGTGGGATCAACCGAAAATGTAAAACCTTTCTTATCGAAGTTTCAACGCGTATGTTTTTTTATGTATGTGCACAGATTTCTTGGAAACGGCTGAACCAATTTCACTAACATTTTTAATAGACAATACCTCAAGGGTGGACCCATTTGAAGAAAATTTTCCAGCCCGTGGGGTATAAAAAAATAAAGCATTTAATCAAAAGCTTAAAAGAATGAGATAATTTCCACAAACGGCTTCTGAAGTTGTGGTTTCAAAATTTCGATTTAGTTTATAGGTATGTGTTAGCACCGACCTCACAAGCTATTACGTAGAAATTATTGTATGCCTTCTAGTTATTAAAGTCGGTTTTACCGGTTAGTTCCCACTAGTTGGAATGATTACCTACATACTTCAATCGTTAAACTTATTTCCTCCATGCTTACTAGTGACACTTTTTCCAGTAGTTCAACTGACTTTAAATCCTTTTAAAGGTTAAAGTAGTGAAACTCAACACACCACCTGATTGAATTATTAATAACTTATAACCTAAGCATATTTGAGTTACCTTAGAATGAAAAAAACTCATGGTTTTTGGGTAAATTTAGCATAATTTTATATAATAGAAAGGTGCACCTGCACCTTACCTACTATCGATATCATAAAATATTTCTCAAAATAACTTCTAGCAAAAGATATCATAAATAAATACGATTACAATAAAATTTCAATTATGATTTAATTTACTCAGGTGGTGTGATCGGCTCTTCTCATCTTGAAGTAATCAGTGGAACCAGTGGAATATAACCTTTTACCTAATAACCTAATATAGTGTTACTTTTTCATATATACATCTCATTCATAATAGGTATCTCTGTATATTTTCACAAATGATCTGTGGCAATAAGTTGTCTAAGCATCCGTTCTCATTTTTTCACTAATAATGATGGTTTCTATAAATACCTAAAATAAAGAGATATATCAGTACGCAATAACAATAAAATTTGAAAAACCGAATGCTGAATCGATTCAAAAAATGAGAATTGATGCTTACGTATCTTATCTAATAAACGTTTATAAAGGGTGACAAACGAGCACACAGTCTACCACTACCATACATTGCTGTTATTGTTGAAGACTAAGATGGAATGTCACGATTCTCTAAACTATCTAAATGAAACAATCAACTGCTATATTCTACGCTGGTGTTCTGCGTAAGCGTCTGTCTTCATACAAAATACGCCTATTTTTCACAAATAAATAGCGACTCGATGTTGACAAATGTAATTTCATCCTTAATCCACCACAATAGGTGCGTTCCAGTGTCCAACTTAGTAAAAACTTAAGAGACTATGTAGACCAGCACCATTTATGTACTTTTAATTAATATAGATATTTTAAAATTGTATCAATTAAAATATTGATGTTTGCGGGAAGAGAAGGCAATTCAAAAACGATTTTATAGTATACAAAATATTTTATACCAAGCAGTCAAATATCAATGAACATTTAAAATGATTACATATATTTAGATACAATCCTAGTGGAGATATCACAAAACATTTAGATAAAAAAAAAAACAAATTATGTAACTTAACATAAGCTCCATTAACTACTCCCTTGCAACAATGAAAAATATAAGGCATGGCCCATAATATATAATATAATAAAACAATCTTACTTTACGATCGCGGCAGCCTGTAATAATAGTGAGGAATAACGCAGGCGAATTTCTCCCTTCTTTATTAATTTGCTCCTGACTTCTTGTAAACCATATAATTCAATAAAAAAAGAAAATAAGGCATGTTTATATGGGCACTGTTTTATAATTTTAATAATTAATATTATATTAGTAGTAGTAGTAGTAGTAGTAGTTGAAGTGCGGGGCGGGGTGTCCCCCCAGTAGAGGGAGTGACGACCTGGTAAGACATGCAGGAAGTCGATGGATGCAGGTGGCTCAGGACCGTGCTGGGTGGCATTCCTTGGGGGAGGCCTATGTACAGCAGTGGAGTTGTGAAGGACTGTAATGATGATGATGATAATGATGAATATTTACTTTACATTTTTTAATTCCTTTTACCAAAGTAATTTATAAGAATGACAGAAAAACTGAAAAAACGTAACAATACAATTCTTTAAATCTAAGCTGACGATTTAGTTTAATTATGTTTAGTATTACCACCACATACACAAATACATTTCTATAACTATTCTACAAAAAAAAAAACACACTTACATACGCCATAGAAAATCTACTAGGTAAAGAAATGGACCGGGCATATGTACTTAGTCGGGTCATACGTTCTGTCAAAATCTTATTATTTAAAATTTTTGAATACTGGCTAGATCAATGGCTTCACCAATTTTAAAAATATAACGTTTGCGCGAGTCCACACGCGTTTATGAACGAGCGTTTGAAAATGAAAAAAATTAGGCTGGATAGATCCCGCGCTTTGTTACGGCGGTACGAGGGAAAAAAATACCGCGAATTTTTGTTTTCGGATGAAAAAAATTTCATCGAAGAAAGTTATAATAAACAAAATGATAAGGTGTATTGACCACAGCAGTGAAGAAGCCTACACGCGTAATTCCGAGGGTTCAATAAGCACATTAACCTTCGTAACTCACGATTTGGCTTGGAGTCTCATATTCAGGCTTAAACGAGGTGTTTTTCTGTGAAAAAGGAGTAAAAACCAGTGCCGAGGTGTACCAAAATACCGTCCTAACAAACATAGTGGAACCTCTTTTTCAAACAATGTTCAAAAACAGACATTGGATATTCCAACAGGACTCTGCACCAGCTCATAGAGCACGAAGCACGCAAAACCTCAGCAGAATTTGGAATCTCTCCGAGCATCTTTGGCTAAAGCAGCGGCAGAAATAGATATGAATGTGGTGAGTGCTGCGATAGATGATTGGCCGCGTCGATTATCGGGCATGTATTCAAAATAGGGGAGGGAATTTTGAATAATGTAAATAAAATTGTATTCTAAATGAAATTACCTTTCATTTCATATATAATGTCTATATAATTATCAAAAAGTGTATCATTGATTTTATAAAAAGTTTTTGACAGAACTTATGACCTGACTTAGTATATAGTAGAGGCGAGATTTTAGGTATTTGCGACTTAAAGTGAAACCAACTTCTAATAATCGCTGTATCATATATTTAATGAGACACCTGCACCGATCTATAAAACTATAATATAAATTATCTTATTTTATAAAGAACAATGACAAGTTCTAAATTCAACAGTCATTGATTTGTAGCATCTTAATGTAAAAAATGTTAAAACGTTGAAATAATTTTTGAAGAAATGTGCACGCGAAATATATTAACATTACATTTTGAGGTTATGTAAAATTAATTTACAAGATAAAGGAATGTGAAAGTGACACTCCACAAAGTTCAAATTTGTAAGGCTAGAAAAGCACCCACAAATCCTCTGGTATTGCAGATCCATGGGAGAGGTCCATGGGCGGCAGTGATCACTTACCATCAGGTGAACCGTTTGTATTAAAAAAAATTACAACAGCTACAGAATTCGAATTAGATCAGGCGCAGGCTTTGGCAGCACGCTTAAATTTCCTCGTCACCGTTACCGTCACGTGTTTTATTTGTTTTTTAATTACAGTAACTGCTGTATTAAAAAAGTTACAATAACACAAATGATTTCATATATTACAAATTATGTTTTTCATTTAATTATTGAAATAAAATTCAAATAATATTTAAATATCGTGGAAAAAATACTTCGTACTTAGTGTTTTTTATGCGATAACCAAAACTGCTGATTCAAAATATATTGATCAAATAATAGTCCATTCATAAAACTGTCTCAGCATCACAATGTACAACTAATCACGATATTATTACTATTATTATATTATATTAATAACTATCCTCAGAAAATACTCAGGCAAAGTCCTGTCATTGTCCTTTGAACGGTTAAATGAGAAAAATAAAGTAGGTATAAATTTCTTAATCAACAGGGACTTATTTGTTTATATACAACTAGCGATCTGCCCCAGCCTTCGCACAGGTGATTGCTAGAAATCGACAACAGCGCCGCCTACCGGGTCCGGGTCAAATTATAAATCTAAATCTTCCAGCGACCGACTCAAACACACAAAAAATTGTATCAAAATCGGTCCAGCCGTTTAAAAGTTCAGTGACAAACACACGTACAGAAGAATTATATAAAGAAGAAAGATTTGGAATAACTTTGTCAAAACGTAAATGTTAAGTTTAGTTAGTTTAACAAAGAAGTTATAATATTATACTTCATATAATATTTTAACTTGTTGAGAAACTAAATTACTTTGTGTATCTTAGATTGACATTTCCAAATAAAAAAAATTGGTTAGTCAAATTCAAATATTCAACTGACATACGAAAACTGAATATGAAAAAAATCAAAAGCCCTCATGCATTTAAAATGTATTGTCACCAAAAAAGTAGAATCATAAAGTAATCAGCAAAATTTACTAAATAATTTCGATTTTCATACTGAAATATTATAATATTTAAGTGTAACACTTGGTAGATGCTACAAATTATAGGGTACTCTATTTGCATTTCAGCCACCCCTTATGCTTAGGTAAAGTTATATTTTTAGCTTAAATATAATCAATTTATGCTACATGTTTTATGATACTCTAACAGTTAATAAACACCTACTTGCTACCCTATATACACAAATATTTATGAATCATGAAGTTTTTCTACAACTGCAGCTGTCTTTAAATCTTCTGTGTTGTTTAAGCCATCATTGCTGTTATTTTTTTCTAAAGCTTCAACAATTTCAGTTAGTTTAGAATCTTGCATTGTTTCATCACAATGGATTTTATTCACGCCCTCATTGATATCATCATCTTCTTCCTCTTTCTTTTTTTTAATGTCGTCTTCATGTGTGGAAGGCTCTTCTGAATCACATTTTACTTCTTTTACCTTGTTGTGACATTCGGCTTCATTGACATTGGTATACAGTTCATTTTTACTTTCTTCATTCTCCTCACCTTTATCAGTTTTTTGCCTTGTGAGATCTTCATTAAAAGCACTAAAGTTGCTTATTGTTGCATTATTTATTTCATTTGTAGAAACTTTATTTATTTCATCAGTAGAACTATAATTTGCTTCACCAGTAGAAACATTATTTATTTCACTAGTAGAAACATTATTTATTTCACTAGTAGAAACATTATTTATTTCACTAGTGGAAACATTATTTATTTCATCAGTAGAAACATTATTTATTTCATCAGTAGAAATATTATTTATTTCGTCAGTTTCCATATTGTGACAATCGCTAGGGTTGTTTGAAACACTATCGTTTTTATCTATTGATTTATCGGAACTGTTGTTATGCTCACTGGTAGCTCCAGTCAAATCAACTTCTTGGTTTTCTTGTACATTTGACTCCACGGAGTTTTCATCAATGAAAATAGGATCATCATTATCTTCTAAGTTGGGCAATATTTCAACGTCATCATCTTCTTCACTGGTGTTATTAGCTATACCCATTTTCTTGGCGATATATTGTTTCATTTCTTTATTGATATTCTCCCTTACTTCATTGAATCTACTTACTGATGTGTTTAACAATCGATCTAATGTTTTATGTAAATTTCGCATTTCATTTATTGAGCGTGTTCTTAAAAACATAGTTGTAGCTTCCTTCTTTAATTTATGTAATCTCGATAAAGAATATTCCAATGCATCTACAGCATCAATTAGATTGTATCTATACCATTCAACGGGCACATTTAAGTCACATTCTCGCTTCGACATCTCTGTTCCTCTATTAAATTTAGCTGAATTTTGAGCACTACTACGTTTTGAATTTGTATGTTTACTCTTGTTAGTATAAGTTTTCAAAGGGGGCGGCGAAGAGGAGCGTGGTAAAGTAACAGCACTAAGTTTTGCGGCATATGTTGCGCCTTTGGGAGCAGTTTTACCCTGTGTATTTTCAGTTACCGCTACAATCGTTGCTGAATAACCACCTGGCATTGTGGGATTTGCGTTAATAGCAAATATTCGGCCGTCCGGCAGTCGATACATTTTGTTAGATGACAAAGTCTGAGGATCTACACGGAATTTCAATCCGCCCGTAGCAGCATTTACAGTCACATCATTATCTGTCATCTGCACAATATTATCAGGCGTTAAATCTGGCAAGGCAATATTACCAGTTCGTGGTGCAAGGGGTGGTACAGAATTAACTTTTGGAGCTGCAACAGGTCCTGGGGTCATGCACTGAACATCATCATCCACGGTGTCTTCCATCACCTGTTAAACATACATATATGTAAAAAACAAAATTAGCTGTTAAGACTGCGCCGAGCAAAACAATTCAAAACGGCAGTCATTATTTAGTCCATAATATTATATTACTAGCTGTTCTCCGCGACTTCGCCCGCGTGTAATGCAGGGTTTTAATTATGTTGCGCGGAACCCTAATTATTTTTCTAAAATATAAGTAACCTAAGTTACTCCTTATAACATCAGCTATCTGCCAGTGAAAGTCCCGTCGAAATCGGTCCAGCCGTTTCGGAGATTAGCCGGAACAGACAGACAGACAGACTGACAAGCAGACAAAAATTTAAAAAAATGTGTTTTTGTTATAAGTACCGTATATACTTTCATATGCATTTAATAAAAAGCTGGTATTTTGACATTACAAACAGACACTTAAATTTTATTTATTTGTATAGATGTAATAAATACTTTGGTATAAAATAATATGCTTAAAATTATTCCAAAGCAAATATAAAAAATATGCACAGTTTAATAAACAGAACTAAGTTGTAGTGTGTGCTTATATATATGTAGGATAGAATAAGAGAGAGTTAGTATTAAACCTACAGTCTAGACGATTGGACGTTTTATTTATTCCCCGAACCACCCAACACTACAAAGTAAAGTTGCACAGAAACCCTAAAAATTGCATTCAAGTAGAATTTTGATAAACTGTCGATTTCTAAATTCATATTATTCTCAAGTCCCAAAAATGAAGTTCTTTATAAATGTCTAAAATGTTGCTTACTAATTTAAATGTATATACATTTTTTTTCTATGGTCGTACACGAAAATGAAGGTCAAAAATTTTGCGGAATAGAAGGATTGGCGGGGGTGGTGGTCATCCAGGTAGGTACAAATTGAGTGACTCATTATCAGTATATGTACAAAGTTTAAACCTAATCTAGTTATTAACTTCTGAGACCGCCCTTTGTATCCTGCCTTATACGGGAAGAGTCAGAGTTGTGATAGGCTAAGCGCCCACTCTAAATTTCACAGTACGCGAGCAACCTGGGTTCGATCCCCGCCGTCACCAATCAAATTGTTAATTAACATTTTAAGAAGATAGTGTGAGCGTGGATATAGATGGTACCCTCTTGAGGTAGATTTATATATTAATTTTTTGAAGGCACTCAACAAAACCAATTATTCAAATCTTAAGTTATCTACTTTTGTTGTGCAAGTACTGACAAAACTTGTTGCTGCGTGTGTGACGACCTACACAACTAATGAGCCGTAGATAATATCTATCTGATGCCCGCCTTGTTTGTCCAGTGCAGTCATAATGAACACTACAAAACATTAGAATGAATTACCTCGCAAAGTGGTTCCAACGGTAAATCTGGTGTGCAAACGACGTCATCGTCTTGACTGTTATTGTTTGACATCGATGCCACAGCCGCCATATCCAAGCCCTAATGGAAATTTAAATAAATATTAACTAAATATCTTCATGCTGATCATGATCCCATGTTAGTCTAGGCTAGGACTTAAAGTTTGTGTTTATGCGGGGCTTTAAAACAAAAAATAATGTGCCAAGTGTTACTTGCCTATCTTGTGTGGTATTGAGTTTGTGATTGTGTAGGCGATGGGCTGGCTAATTATCACTACTTTTAATTTTCTATCTATATCCATATTTTTGGTTAAGCATGGTCCTAGTGGCTCGGTGCTTTCTGAACTCTGCCTTCCCCTTCGGGGATTACAGGCGTGACGTATATTATGTATGTATGTATATATCTAAACTGCCGTGTGCTTACGGCTGAAAAGAATCCATCACCCCATTACGTCCCTTGGATGTTGTAAGAGGTGACTATGGAAAATTCTTTGGCATTGGACAGTTGATGGTATACCATCTCACAGCACCCTTTTGCCAAACCAGCCACAGGCAGCAGTGTTGAAGGCATGCCTGATAATAATTAAGGCAAATCTTTTCTAGAAAGGAAAAGGAACATGTCCAGCAGTGGACTTATACAGGCTGATAAAGAAGAAGATATATTTACATGGTGAATTGTAATTAGAAAAATAAGGTTAAAAAATATGTAATATTAAATAATCAAATGCTACTCAATTTTCAGATGCCACTAAGTCTTATGCTGTCTCTATCACTAAGTTAAAGTGTCACCACGAGATTTAACGACATCTTAAAATTGACTAGTGTTTGAGTATTTGGCCACTATACAACAAAGACTTCATTGCTTACTTACAAATTGAACGTAATATAGAAATAATGACCAAAACTAACTTTTTTTACCAATATGCGATATAGGTTTTTAGACCTGGTTCAAAAACATTTTTTTTTTAATAGAAATAGGGTGACAAACAAGCACATATCCCACCTGATGGTAGGTGGTTGTTGTGGCCCATAGACATCTACATCCATCCTCGTTTGCGAATTAAAATGCAGATGCATAGCCAGCTTTGAGGACTAAGATGGAATGCCTCTTTTCCAGTAAAAAAGGGTCGCCGGTTCTCTACACTCACCATACGAAACACAGCAGCATTAAGCTGCTATTTTACGCTAGTATTCTGTGAGAGCATGGTCCTTCCCCGGTCGAGCCGACCCATTCGCGCTCCAACTATATTATAAATATAGCTGCAGCTTGGCTCTACCACGTATATCGCTTATTTTTAAAATTTAAATTTATTTTTAAATTTTTGGTCATAAATACTATAGAAAATTAGTTATAAAGACAAATAATTTAGATTACCTGGGTCAAATTATCCAGTGATAAATTGATGTTGTCATTTGGAACCACATTGCTGAAGGGGTTTGCATTGTTAAAGCCATTGTACTGATGATGTGGAAGAATGGGGATTCCCTGAGGTTTGGGTCTAAATCGAGGAATTGGAAGCGAATTTGGTTTTCTTTCATTTCCAAATCGAATAGCATTCATGATTGGAGGAGGTGTCATCTAAAATAACGAAAATATAAATTTATATTGTATTATTAATTAATTATATCTCAGAAGGTGTTTGTAAATTTACCCGTATTTTTTTTGGCGGTGCATTGGACAGGCTGACAGGGTTTAAAACATTTGGACCAGATAATGCAATGGGGTTCTTTAAGAATATTGATTTGGTCTTTGAAATTGGACTTGCAGGTCTTTTCAATGCTTTTTTTTCTTGCTTGTCATCTGGATTGATAGAGGCAAATTTTTTGACCTGAAATTGTGTTAAAACATACATAAAATTTAGCATAATATCGAATAGAGAAAGAAAGGCAGAAATTAGATACAACCTGAATAGCTGGGGATATTTTTGAAATTATCGATGCCGTAGACTTCTTTGTTAATACTTCAGAATCTTTCTTTTTATTGGAATCTGAGCGCTCTCTTTTCTTTATTTTATTTTTACAACATTCGGAATAATCTAGTGCACAATCCTTTTGATATGCATCTTTTAATTCAGGATCTTGAGTGTTGTATGCTATTCTAAAAAACAAAGAAATATATAATAAATTTAATGTAATATAATAGTATAAGGAGGTAGAATAATGAGGAAAGAACATAGGTTGGACTGACAATTAAAAAAATCTTGGGGTATTCTTGGTAGACTTACCAAGTAGCCTTACTAGTAAGAGTACTGGAAATTTTTTTTCCAGTAGTCTTACTGTTAAAACTATCGAGAAATGTCGTTCCTAATAGTCTTACTTTTTGTGTGTTTTTTTTTTTTGTATTTAAATTTAGTAAAATTATTTAATTAAATGGCAATACATTCGGCACGAGCGGCCATCGGGTTACTATATCGCTCACATATTCAAGGATACCGTCGCGGATTACCAAAGACTATAAAATCCAATTGATTGCGCGTACACGGCACTAACGCTCGCACCTACACATAGACGCTTTGCACCCTATGTACCAATCAAGAGTTAGATCTTTGCGCAAATAATAATTTGAGGCTTAGCTTTCCATTGACGTCCACGAGTTTGGTGTTGATACGTATTTTTACAGAAAGATTACACTATTATAAGCACACACACAACGTTTCAATATGCGGAAACGCGTAATTTTTGAGAAAAAATTTATTGAAAATCAATTATTCTTGCAATGTTTATGTCTAATCCCACCGTAAAACTGGCGCCATTTTGTAATGTCATTGTCGACGTCAATAGGGATGTCGATTCTTTCCGAAAAAGGTCGATTTTTAAATCGATTCAAATCGTAAGCTGATGTATCGGTTCACAAAAAATCGATTTCTAAAATATCTATTTTTTTTAATGTTTGCATTTATAATGTAAATATAAACCCATTTTATGAAAAACAAGAAAGATACCATGATAAATGATCTTTTATTGAAATTTGTTTTATTTTAACAGTACCAATTAGGGCAGATAACAAATAAAATTAGGTTAGGTTCAACTTATGTCAAAGAACCGAATTGATTGACCCCGACTCCACCTGGTACGAGTTTGTCCTACCCCTAGAGTGGTTTTATAGAGCCGGAGGCTACCAACAAGCCGAGGCTGCGGAGGCGAGAAGGGATGCCTGCGATTTTTTACGCTAAGGCGTAGAGGCTGCTCTTTCCGCAGCGCCGGAGACATAGCAGTCTCAAAATAGATACAGAAATCCTTCTGAATCAGTCCCCTTATTTTTTTATGATGAAGGAATTTTTTTTCTCATAAAGTGGATTTATATTTACATTATAGATGCAATCATGAAAAAAATATAGATATTTTAGAAATCGATTTTTTGGGAATCGATACAAAAGCTTACAATATGAAACTATTTAAAAAATCGATCTTTTTCGGAAAGAATCGTCATCCCTATTGACAATAATAATAAAAAATGGCGTCAGTTTCACGGTAGGAATTGACATAAATATTGCAAATATATTTGATTTTCAATATTTTTTTCTCAAAAAGTACGTGTTTTCGCTTATTGAAACTTTGTGTGTGTGCTTATAAAAATGTAATCTTTCTGTAAAAATATGTATCAACACCAAACTCGACGGACGTCGATGGAAAGTCGTACCTAATTTTTCCACTTCTAATAACATTTCTAAAATTGTATGAATCCTTTGTATGGGCTCTTGAGTGTCCCCTAAGTGGTGACAGTATATGTGCTAAGTGTTGAACTAATGTATATGTTGGTGGATCAATTTGACTGACTATTGGACGCAGTGGAGTGTCTGGTTTGTGCATTTTGGATAACTTCGGTGGTTTGGTACACGATGGTATTATCGAATTTACGTCGAGATTCAATTTTACGCAGTACTTCTTTATAAAAAATCGCCAGTTGTTTTAAGCACATTGGTTGTAGGGTCTGCTTGACCTTTTTGTAAGTTGTTCAACGCTTTACATTCGTCTTTGGGGAGATTTCGTTTCGGTTCTTAACTTCGACTTAACAAGGACGAAATGTTTTATTACCTATTAATTATAATTTGCACTGTGCTTTACTACGAATAAAGTCCCTGGCGATGACAAATACAATGGCATCAAATTATAATAAACATTGTAAGCAGGGACTTAAAAACGAAATGAATTTCGTTTCGTTACATTAAATGTTATCTCGTAACGTTCCAAAGATTTCAACAATACTAAAATCCAAAATTATTAATAGCTGGCTAATGAATGGGTTGGCTCAACCGGGGAAGGACCACGCTCTCACAGAATACCAGTGTAAAATAGCAGCTTAACACTGCCGTGTTTCGTATGGTGAGTGTAGAGAACCGGAGACCCTTTTTATTGGAAAAGAGGCATTCCATCTTAGTCATCACTAGGGTAGCAACGCATCTGCATTTTGATTCGCAAACGAAGATAAATGTAGTTGTCTATGGGCCACAGCAACCACTTACCATCAGGTGGACTGTGTGGTCGTTTGTCACCCTATCCTATAAAAAAAAGAACAATATTTTTCGTTACGTTATAGGTATCGGTTAACGCTAGGCCTATATCCGCTTATATCGTTACGGCTGAAACTTTACAGATTCACTTGTACACTGCACTACCGCGCCGTTATCGCACCTCGTACAAACCACCGCCATCGTATTCAAGCATTACCATTAAGTTCGTTAGAGAGTGCGCATCGCTTATTATATAAAATATGTAAAGTATATGCCACAATTTTGACAGATTAATAACGATATTATATCGTTATATTTATTTATTTTTTATTTATTTATTTAAACTTTCATGCACAAAGTTGTAAATATGCCGAACTTATCGCTTCCATTCTCTTCCAATCAACCATTAGGCTAGACAGAAATAAACAAGAGGCGGTGCAGCAGTAATCAAAATAGAAAGGGCTAAAAAATAAAAATATTATATACACAAACATGCATACACATATACATGCATACAGTACATATATACATATAAATATTATCTATGTCAAAACAAATATGAAATATACATAATATGTATGTATATGAAAATAAGAGCTGTGTTAGTTCAAACTTGCAATGATTTATTCACATGCTTATGAACTTGATTTTGAAAAACAAACTTGTTGGGAGCTTTTTTTAATGTCAAGAGAGATGTCGTTCCAGAGTCTGATGGCCCTGGAGGCGAAAGAATGAGATAAGTATCCAGTACGGTGTAATGGAGTGAGCAACTTAAGATTAGCCAAAGAACAGACAGAACAATTATGAGAATCTCCCAAACAACCATCAACATACAGACCAAGGTTCTTTACATGGTGAGAGAATGGTATAACATTTGGGGGTTGCACTTGCACATATAACTGCAGATCATCGGCATAGAGATGGTAAGAGCACTTGATATTTAATGTGATGACATTGATAAAAATTGAAAACAGAAGAGGGACTATACCGCCTTGAGGGACGCCAGTAGACACATCACACCAGTCAGATAGTAAATGTCCAGGACACACGGACTGTTGACGTCTTCAAAGATATGATGAGAACCATTCGTGAACTGAAGCCTGAAGACGAGATATTCAAATGAGAAAGAAGAGCTAACAAGATATCATGAGGGCGGTCAGTTTTGATTTTCGCTCTCGGATATTTTCCGTCACCTTGAGAAGAGCAGTAGTTGTAGTATGACCAGAGCGGAAACCCGATTGATAAGGGGAAAGAATATTTTTTTTAAGAAAACAAAAGAAGAAATCTGTTTATGAGCAACAGCTTCCAGAATCTCAGAGAGAAAAGGCAGCATAGAAATTGGTCTGGATATAGTGCTGTAATCGGTGGATTTAGGAATGGGAATAATAAAGGCTATATGCCAGAGTTGGGAAAGCACCATTCATCAGCGAAAAGTTAATGATATGAGTTATCAAGGCTAAAACAGCTTCCAACACGTGCATAACCATTACCTCAACACATCACATCATCACAACCAATGGCTTTCGATTTAATAGAAGAAAGTGTGTTGCATACCTCATTTTCGTCTACAGGAGAAAAAGATAAAGTTTCATAGAATAGAAGATATAAATGAGATAGCATTAGCTCTAGAATTATCAGAAACTATTTGAGAAGACAGAAAGTGGTGATTAAAATCGTCAGGAGAAAAGGTGATGCTATTATAGTCAAATTGCGATTTTCCATAGCCAAGTGTATTGAGAAACTTCCATACATCAGCTGAAGATGAATTAAGTACTTGTTCATGGATATATCGGCGTGTGTGTATAACAATAACGATGTTATATAATGATATTAATAACGATATATGGTCATCTGTTGATTGCGCGTCCCGAGTTGTAATAAAATGTAATAAGCTGTTGGTTAATCAGCGAAGGAGTTTCAATGTGTGAGTTTGTTTATATTGTTACGAGCTTGGGGTTCGAGACAATTAAAAACTGCCGATTGAATTACCAAAATTGACACTTTAATTACACAACACTAATTACAATCTAAAATCACACTAATAATAAAACACAGTTCGCCGTTACTTCGCGTCGAAGTATTCTCTTGTATCGCCAATTCAATACTGCCTCGGTCGTGGTCTATACCGGCCTTATATAGGGCCTCAGATAGTATCCAGAATCTTCTACTGTAGAGACATCTAGAATGTTCGAGTACATATCGGTCCCGAAATTTCTGGAAGGATCTTGACTCTCCTAGTTCTGCTACTCGACACTAGAGGGCGCTAGTGTAACTAGTGTTGCCATGTACAAGACATTAATAGTGGCGCGCAATACTTTCATTTACTCGACACTAGATGGCACTAGTGTAACTAGTGTTGCCATGTACAAGACATTAATAGTGGCGCGCAACACTGCCCCCTCCTAAGACATGCTCGTCCCGAGCATTATTGGCCCCATAATAACGCGCCAGTCGATCCACATGGACAATCTTAGGAGTACCTCTGGCACCTTTCTGTATCCGGTAGGTTACATCATTGATCCTTGTCACAATCCGGTACGGTCCGTCCCATTTAGCTTGAAGCTTAGGAGATTTCCCTTTGCTGCGAACTGGATTGTGTAACCACACTAGTGAACCTTCATCAAACCCCTTGTTGTTCATTTTGCGG